GTCATCCCGTGAGGCATCAGTTAGTCTACTTCACTGCTCATCATATTGTTTACTGAGCCATTTCCATTTCTTTTAAAAGCTACTCCCTGGGTATATCTACCAGAAACTTTGGTTATAGTCTGGGAGCTGGAGGGAGCAAAGAACTGGCAGCTGAAATGTACAGGAGCTTAGAAACAGTTGATAAGAAGTTTCATATTTAAAATTTAGGCCCATATTTAAAAATTTAGGCCCAGTTTCTATCCAGTCAGCTGGGAGTCATGAAAAAACATTGGGCAACTGCTCTCCCTGACAAGTCTTGTGCTCCATCTTCCATTAGGAGAATAAGTAGTTATGAATCTCATACTTTAGCCTACAGATATTCTTGGACCTACTGCACTCTGCAGGAACAGCGTCTCCTGTAGGGGTGTGTGAAACAGGCTGTATTCGATTTGGATTCATCCTGAATCGGGGACGGTGATTCGATTAGTTGATTCAGATCACTGTCCCTGATTTGATTTGGCCGAATCTGAAGATTTGAAGCTGAGTCAGAGAATCAGTGGTTTGGACATAGACACAGCTTTAAATGTTTTTTCAACATACCTTGAGGTACCAGGTGTGGCTTGAGAATGCAGCGATGCTGGGGTGGATGGAACGTCCCATAGGAGCATGGGGGGGGCCCCCTGTGTGCTCAGCGACGAACCCAAAAGTGGACCAGAAGTACTTCTAGTCCACTTACGGGTCCACTGGGGAGTGCACAGGGGCTCCCTTGCACCCCGCCGGGTCAACAATTGGCCACAGGGGGAACCCGGGTGCCCCTCCAGATCCAGGAGGCACTAGCCGTTGTGCCAGGGGGCACAGGGGCCGGTCCCCTGTACACTCCCCAGCGGACCCAGAAGTGGGCCAGAAGTGCTTCTGGTCTACTTCCGGGTCTGCTGCCAAGTGTGCTGGGGAGCCCCCTGCACTCCTGTGGGATGCTCCATCCACCCCACCATTGCAGCATTCATGAGCCACCTGGTACCTTGAGGTATGTAGAAAAAACATTTCAAGCTGTGTCTGTGTCCGAATCGCTGAATCTTTCCAAATCTCTCTGAATCAATTCAGAGGGTTCTGATTCAATTCGCAGAGATTAAAGGGTCTCCACCAAATCAAATCAGGGACCGAAGCTTCGCACAGCCCTAGTGTCCTGCACAGGCTTATACAGCAAAAATCCTTTGGCCCATTTTATCAGGTCCATGAGCTTGAGAGACAAATATGCATTGCTGTTCCCCACCAGCTTTCTCTTTCCTGAATCATTGTGTTGCTCCTGAATATCCTCCTGGCCTGCCCCATTCTTTGCAATCTCTGCTGGAGCACTACTGCAGTTGCCATCTCCAGCCCCTTCTCTCTGCACGAGGAAGTCTGTAGCAGAGACATAGCTTGACTGATACACATGAATTAAGTGAATCCTTTGTCCATTAAATAAAAAGAATAATTTTCAGATTTTATAAAAATGTTTCCATACTCCCACCTGTTGGATTAGCCTCTATGTAAGATTAAAGTGTGTGATAATTACACTAAAAGAGCAAGAAAAAGTGTGAGACTCCCAAGAAAAATTTCTAAAGGAAAGGATTTTAAATTGCTTAGAATGCTGAATTTTCAACTTAATGTAGTCTGAAAATTGCCAAAATAACTTAAGTTTGTCATTGTTGAATTAGCAAAGGTTTCTTGTTAATCATGTGTGTGGCATTCAACATTGATTTAAGCATTTTAAACCTATTTTATGTGTAAAGCTTAAACTAACAAAGCAGTCACTGGGATTCCTTCTAAGTCATTTTTATGTTAAAATATTTGGAATATGACCAACTATATAACTGAGAAAGGTGTTAGACAGGCTTTTGAGCATAGACTGCATGTCCTCAGATCACTTAGTGCCCAGATGTTTGTCTAGCACACATTATATTTAGGACATGATTAACCAGTTAAAATAACTAATTAAATGCAACCAAGTAAAATAAAATTAATGGTATGATAAAACACAATATGCATAATACCTTTGTGGCTGGTTCCTATCATGCTATAAATTTAATGTCTGGCCAGGCGATTGGGGCTCCCAGTCTTCAGAGAGTATTGGAGCCCTTGATCCCCATGTAGCCGCAAGGCTGAGAAGACCAATCAGCTAATTGCCAGTCCTAGCTTCAGGGGCCCATTCGAGTCAGCTGCAGGGGTTCAGCTGCTGCTCCCCAGCTGCAGGGGTGTATCAAAGCACTTGACTCTGATACGCCTCCTTGGCTGGGAGCAGCACCAGATCAGGGCTCCCAGCCTTCAGGGTGCAGCTGGAGTCAAAGGCTCCACTGTGCCCCACTGCTGGGAACTTCAGTCAGCTGAATCCAGGCTCCCAGCTGCAGGAGTGCACCATGATGCACCCACATGACTCGAAGGCCCCATCAGCTGACTGGGGCTCCCAACTGCAAGAGCTTGTTATCTGCAGGTGCAGGGGGAACCCAGGATCAGGGTCCCAGGCTCCCCCTGCTCCTGTGATATGGTTTAGTGGGATCAGAGTCTCAGTCCCACAATCATGCCTCTTGCCATGCATGTGTGTTATGGTAGGTTGTGTGATTGTGAGGACCACACATCAGATCCCATTGCGCCTTTGATTGCATGCCTGCCAGGGCTTAACATCATTCCCAACTATGGAATTTGTACAATAAAAGTTATTACTAAAAAGAATCTTTTCTTATCCTGCACATTTCCTGCACTACCATGGCTTCAACAACACTAGAACCTTAGCACAGAATATGTTCTTCACTTTTGATCATTTTTGTATGAAATTCTTATAGCTCTGAACTGCCTCATGCAATTCTAACCCCAGAAAACCTATGACTTTATTGGCTGTGTTTATTATGAATCACTTTGAAGTGCACTGTGGTCTCAAATTTGCCTGGCTTGTGACAGAATTTGGTAATAAAAGGTGGATTGTTTTAAGTTTGTTTCTGTAGTTTTTAATTAATAAGAGGCTTAGTACTGTGTGTTCTTGTTTCTGTGCCACGTTTTTTTATTTTACTAGAATGACATATTTTCCTTTTTTAATGCTTTGTTTTTTTGATTGTGCAAGAACAGTTGTTTGTGTGACGCTGAAGATCTAAAGCAGGAGTTCAGATGTGCTAAGTATTATTATTATTATTATTATTATTAAGGCTTAAAGCAATATTTTTATTCAGTGACTGTTGATGAATGGAAATGATGCAGGGCTGAGCTTCAGTTTCCATGTCAGCCATCTCACTTTCTCTCTCTGTCTCTTTTTTGTGTTCATAGCTCTCTCAGGCAAATTCACTTTGGGCTGTGTTTTTTCTTGCATTGTTTTACCCCAGAATTTTTTCTACTGTGTCAGCAAAATTAGTTCAGTCATTTTGTACAGGTGATATTTTTGTTGTGCAAATAATTACTTCTTATACCTGATGGTCTAAATTTGTATCTTGGTTCTAATTATTTTACATGCATTATAACATATAATATATGGAATGTGCAATAAAGGTTAAGTCAAGACTGTTAGAAACTTTGGTTCAGATTTTGCTCCCAGTAAATCTGAAGTAATTCCATCAGTATTTGATGGAGATTTTAACAGTAGGTAAATGAGAATAGTAAGTTCCAGCATTGACTCCTGAATTCCTTGACCCTGTTATAGGGTTGACTTGTTCACTTTTTATCATTGCATCAAAGTTAGTTTTCCATTTACATTTAACTAATAATTTTCTCTGCATTTGTACTGCAATCTTGGGACTGCAGGAATAATGGAGGTACTATTTGTACCAATTTAAGGTTTACACGGAGATTGTTTCTGAAACCCGGAGTTAATTTTTTCCCCTGTTTTTGTGGTACCTGATTGTAGCTAGGTCTGTAACAGAGCTAGGCTTCTGATAAGCTCTCTAGATTGCTATGACTTGACTTTGATTCTAAGTGATTTACTAATTTTATCTGTTTATTGGCTAGATTTCATACAAATCTTTGACCTTTTCATAGAGGCCCTTTATAACCATATAAGGATACATTTCATGCTTATTTAGAGTTTGATTTAGGCAGAATGTGTGTACTGGGCTTCCAAAATCCTGCTGTGCATCTTAGTAAGTAACTGTGATGCTTCAGGTTCAATTTGGAAAGAGCTAATTGTAAAACTTTGCTATAATAAAGAATCTGTATCTGAGAAACAGGCATTGTTCTTAGTCACATATTCAATATCTTATGGGTTCATACAGCCCGGATTCTATGCAACCCCAAATACCAATAACTTCTTATGCCATGTAAGGCCAGCTGATGCTTGTATGGCAGCAAGTTCAGCTATGCTAAGTGCATTCCCCAAATATTTACTTTAACCAGCAGGGACTTTTCACATTGCTTGCAGTAAAGTTATTTTTGCATTCAAATGGTAGCGCCAAGTTCTTAATGGTGACCAACAACCCTCCTAGAACTCCTTGATTATCTGAATAGGCCATTTCTTAGATTGTAACTCTAAAAATCTTTTCGTGATGGTGAGTTCTCATGTGAAGCCACTGAACAGAAATAGGTCTACTATCAACTCAGGCCTCCTTTAACACATACCTTTACCTAGATTCTTTTTGTAGTTGCCATCCACAGCAGAGTCCTCTCAGGAACCAGTATTTAGACCCTGGATGGCAAAGAGCAGATGTTTAACTGATATGCTACCCAGTCTTTCTTTGACATTAAGCACCAGAAAGTATTTTTAGGATTAGTGCAACATTGTCTTGTTGTAGTGACTCACTATAAAAGATATCCTGACACACATGCTGTCCTTCAGAGTGCTGAGTTGCAGAGAATAGAATTCAAGGGTTTCATGACAGATCTGTATTTTTCATTTGACTTTTTCTCCCTTTGCCTAAGGATCACTGAAGTTGAAAACAGAAGCCCTTCATTCAGCAGAGGGCCTCAGCAAAGAAGTACTCTTCAGTACTGTTCCTCTTGTCATTTGCTGGAAGTCAAGCTATGAATAATTTCTAACTTATTTACAGTTTTGGTTTTCTTTTTTGTAGGTGAACTGATTTACCAGGTGCAGTCGCCAGACGAAGGTGCTCTAGTAACTGCTGCCAGAAATTTTGGGTTTATCTTCAAGTCTCGGACCCCAGAGACCATCACTGTGGAAGAAATGGGCCAACTTGTTACATACCAGCTGTTGGCATTTTTAGATTTTAATAATATCAGAAAAAGGATGTCTGTAATAGGTACAGCATGTAGCCTTTCTCTTGGTTTCTTTTGTTCTAATTGATTACAATGTATAGAGCTCTAAAGCATTCAGTTAACAGTGGATCTTCACATGTGCCATTAACACACAGCAATACGCTGCAGAGTTTATTGCTCCCAAGAATTAGGCCATCTACATATCAGTTGCTAACCTGCTATAGGCTGTGAGGGACTTTGAAATTAACACAGGTTTGCAATTTCATTGAATCAGTGAATTTCAATGACAAAATGTTTCTGGAGAAATTTGTTGTGATCATTTCCAGGTTCAGCATTTACATGAAGTCTACAGCACATTCTGGTCTGTCTGCCATTTGTTGTCTACAATATTTAAAGAAAGATAATTTAAAAAAATCACTTATTTTCTAAGAAAAACTCTATGACAACTTGCAATCCTGTTGATTATTTTTCGTAGTGATCAATTCTGAAGATTTTTTTTTACTAGAAATGAGGGAGAGAGGGAACACACTAGTTTAGACAGGGTGGAGCTGGTGACATACCTCAGTCATTAGTTATAGTGACATGCTCCAGTCATTGTGGATATTAAAACACATGAGGAGACCAAAAGTAGTAAACAGAAGTCTTGAATTTCAACATGAAAAATATATTACTGTATGCTAGGACTCACTGAGGATTAGAGGATATAACAGTTTTGAGGTTTTTACAGCAAGATGTTTGAATTATAATTTCCCCAATAGTTTCTCTAAAACTATTTTTTAGAAGTGAGAAACACTTTTGAAAGCCCTATAACTCACAAAGTTTTCAGCTTCACCTCATGCTATTTTAAAAATGTCTTCTCTGGCCAGATAAATCTAAGAGAAATGTTGAGTAGATGGAAGCTTATTTCAGGGTAGTAGTTTGGTGGTGCTTTAGGATGGCAGTGTAAAAATCGGGCATATAATGGGAACAGTTTAAGGTTATATTTGCACAACAATCAGGTGTGGGTTTTAACATGTACAGACAAACTTGAGTTAGCTTTAAATGGTGCCAGTAGCAATGAAGCTATGATGGCTTCAATACTGGCTATGCAACCCTGCCTGGAACCCCGGACACCTAATTAGTAGGGCTGTGTGAAGCTTTGGGTGTTGATTTGATTTGGATGAGATTCAGCTTGATTCAGCCCGATGGTGGCTGAATCTCCAAATCCAGATCAAATCAGGAGACCAATTACAAGGTCCGAATCAATTCAAAGCTCTCTGAATCAATTCAGAAAAGATTCAGAGAGCTTTGGAGATTCAGGCAGTCCCCAGTCACTGCCGCAGGGAGCTGGACCTGGACTCTGTACTGGTAAGTAGGGGGCAGGGGAGGGGACCATGGGGGGACCCCCACCAGGCTTCATCCCCTGCCTGCTCCCCCAGTTCCCCCCGAGCACCCTCCTACCCCTGCCCACTGTCCCAGGCCCCCCCATGGCTGCCCCACCTTCTGTCTCTTTTAAAAAAAGCCCCTACTCACAGGCTGCTGCCAGGCAAGGGGTCGATCCCTGCTGCCCCCCATGCTGCATGGGGGGGCTCTGCCATGAGCCCCCATTCCCTGCCCACTCTTCCAGCCCCCACCATGGCTGCCCCAGCCCCAGCTTCCACCTCTTTAAAAAAAAAAAAAAAAAGCCCCACACTCACCAGCTACTGCACCGACTCTTGGGACTTCTGGGGGCTCATGGGAGAGCCCCCCCGTGCAGTGCAGGGCAGTGGGGGGCAGCAAGGATCACCTCCTCACCTGACAGGAGCTGGTGAGAACGGAGCTTTTTTTTTTTTTTTTAAGGGCGGGGGGC